ATTACTATCAACTCTTACTTTACTAAGCAAGAAACTGAACTGTTACAAGATTACTCTTGAATGTCTACCACAAAATGTTGGTTTCTACAAAAAGTTTGGGTACACAGTGTCTGAAGAAAACTACATGTGTCGGAGGTTCCTAAAGTAAAAATCTTAAGAGAACTGTCAACAAAGGGGGTCAGTGCTAAAAGGCTTTAACTCTCTGTAGAGTTACATTTTGTTGCTGCAACACAGTGACCTGCCTACAGACTGGACTGAAATAAAGAACATTGTAATACAAGTGTAATGACATTAAAAGATTACTCTGGGCTTATGTGAGTTTAGATCACAAATTATTATTATAAAGGGGGTGATTTTTAACCAAAGGAATATATTTTTAACTTGAATCTTTTCTTGCATTGTATTTTTCTAAAGTTTGGCTTCATTTCTCAGTAGTCGAGTACACTTAGTAAGTTTACATGTCTGCTTTATGTGCTGCTCACTAAAAAAAATACATTTAGTTAGAATTAGGTATTTTTTTCCAAAGAAATATCTAGACTTAGGGGTTTACACCATATTATATTAAATCGATAAATTGGCTATTATAAATATATATTTATACACTGAAAATTCTTGACCTTAATACTGGAAAACAACCTGGGCAGCTTTTTAAATGAAGTAGAAATAGGTGTGGCTTAAGTGGCACAGTGTCCCACCTAGCAAGCTCAAGGCCCTAAGCACAAGTACTGCCCAAAAAAGTACAAAAAATGAAAATTATCTCATAAAAATATGACAGATGCAAGGTATAGTAAACGTTTTACTAAAATTTATATGGTTCTGTGTATAACCAATTGCTTGTCTTATCTGTCAAATACAATTATTCATTTGTTAAAATTACCCAAGAGCAAATATAGGGCATCAGTTTTAAACAGTGAATTAATAGCACGTGTGTGCGTGTACGTGTGTGTACCATTTTTTCTGGATATCTAAATGATACTTTTCCTGGAGTCACATTTTAATGAAACATGGAATATTATAGAATTAATTGAATGTGGTACTTAGAAATGTGGCACTGTAACATTTTTGAAATGTTGATGGAAGTTTTTCTACTTAATGTGATTATCATGATAGCATTATTCTAGTCACTGTCTTGGTTAATTTTATTTATTTTAATGATTTTTTTTAAGTCAGAGGAGTAATGGCTCTAGTCTTTTGCATTCCATGCTAACATTAAACCTGTTTGTATAAACAGAAAAAAAAAATAAAGTATCATGAAAGAACTGAATCAAGCTAACTTATGCATCATTTCACATTCTTACCATTCTTTTGTGATGAGAACAATCAAAGCCTACCCTCTTAGCAATTTTCACATAACAGTTATTAAACATGTCCCTTATCTGGGGATTTGCTTCCTGCAGTTTCCATTACCTCTGGACAACTGTAATCAGAATAGATTCAAGGGAAAATTCCAGAAATAATTCATAAACTTTTTGTAGTTGTTGTTGCCTTTCCTGAGGCTGGAACCCAGAGCCTGGGAGCTGCCCCTAGACTTTTGTGTTTAAGGCTAGCATTCTACCATTTGAGCCACAGCTCTACTTCTGTTTTTTTTTGTTTTGTTTTGTTTTGTTTTTGGTGTTTAATTGGAGCCTCGAGAGTCTCATGGATGCTCTTGCCTGGGTTGGCTCTGAACCTCAATCCTCAGATCTCATCCTTGTGAGTAGCTAAAATTATAGGTATAAGTTACTGGCACCCAGCTACATTTCATACATTTTAAGTTGCACATTATGATGCATTGCATAATGTCATCTCTTGATGTCCACTACTGTTCCAAGGATGACTGGAATCATCCTTTTGACCCGTGTCTCTGCACTGTATAGGCTACCAGCCTGTACACCTGGTAGTCATCTTAGTTATCAGATCAGCTGTCACGGGAGGCCAGGTAACACTTCTTTGACTTCATAATGGACACATTATTCTCAATTATACACACACGTGTAGCGATACTGGCAATTCCACCAAAACCTTGTCATCATGGCCCTATTTTATCATGTCAGCATCTTACTGTGGCTGATAAACAAAGCTTTATCCTGGGAATGTATGGACAGGAATCAAACACAGTACATTCAGGATTTAATACTATGTGGGCTTTCAGTGGTTTGTGGGATGTCTCGGGGGCATTTTGGAACATAGCCTCCAGGAGACAAAGGAACTACAGAATAGTTACTTGTGTTTTATAATAGATGTCGTGAATTTATTCCTCTAATCTTAAGTGAAATTTTACGTTCCTTAGCCATCCTCTTAGTGTGCTCATGAAGTCTTATTGTGCTTGGTACTATTGACCAAATCTATTTTCATGAAATAGACCACTGAACTGTTTTCTTTTCTGAGTTTTTTTTTTTTTTGGTTGGTCATGGGGCTTGAACTCTGGGCCTGGGCGCTGTCCCTCAGCTCTTCAGCTCAAGGCAAGTGCTCTACCACTTGAGCTACAGCGCCACTTCTGGTTTTCTGGTGGTTTATTGGAGATAGGAGTCTCACGGTCTGTCCTGCCTGGGCTGGCTTTGAACCACGATCCTCAGATCTCAGCCTCCTGAGTAGCTAGGATTACAGGCATGAGCCACCGGCGCCCGGCTCTTTTCTGAGTTTTGAAGATGTCTTGGCTGCGCCACTGCTCTTGGAGGCTCCACCTCCCTCGTTGCCCCTTCACTGCAGGTGTCTCCTTGGGCATCTGCTCTTCCTCCACCAATTCTGCACCCTCTCTTTACATAGCTCAGCCCCTCCTGTGGCCCTCCCAACTCCTGAGCCCCAGGACTACCATCCTGCTCCTGGGGACCATTCTGCCTGGGCATCCCAGAGGTCCACAACTTAAGTCCCAAACTGGCCTTGCTATGACCACTCCTCACTAGCACCTTGATTCCTCATGTGGCGTTATCGCCAGGGGCCGCCATGAGCAACTTGATGCCAGGAAAGAGGATCGCTTGGGGTTCATCGCTGCCTAAGCTCTGAGGTGGTCACAGTGTTTAAGCCACTCATTATGGCCTTCTTTAAGCAGCTTGGGGACACTGTGTGTCCATCTTCCTCTCTGGAGCGTTCCTGAACACCTTCATGTGGGGTTGGGTGTCCTCTTAGCATCCAGTAACACCAAAGGGCCTGGGTATGGGGCATCACATTATAACTCGCTATTCATAGTCAGTTGTCAGTCTGCTCTCCTGCCTCAGAGGGTGGCCCTTCATTCAGACCCTTGTCTTGGGGACTCTGCATCCCCAAGTACTGAGCTTAGTATTAGGAATACTATAGAACTTATTATTAGGCAGGTGTCATATCTGGTTTCACGAAATCTATTTTTTTAATATTTTTATTGTAAAGATACTGTACAGAAGGGTTACAGTTACATGAGTAAGGTAATGCCCCTCAGTAGATGAATGGATCAAGGAAATGTGATATATGTGTGTGTGTGTATATATATGTATACACACACATATATATATATAGAGAGAGAGGGGGAATTCTATGCTTCCATCAGAAAGATTGACACTGCCCCATTTGTTAGGAAATGGAAAGACTGAAAAATTATATTAAGTGAACTAAGCCAGACCCAAAGAAACATAGGTCCCATGGTTTCCTTTATTTGCAGTAACTAGTATATGTCTAGGATAATCTTTCCAGACAAGCAGAAAAGGTCAAAAGCTATGTACATATGACCATATAAGATGATACTACATAAAATGAACCCCAAGATAGGAACACAAGAGGTTTCTTTCTTTGTCATTGTAGTTTCCATGAAATTTTATGCACATGCAATGGATTGAGGCTGGATGGGAGTAGTGTAGGTCTATGTCTCCACAATTCAGCAGCCAAGTGACCGGGGTGCTTGTTTCTGTATCTATAAATGGAATAGTAATTTTGTTTTTTTTAATTTTTAATTTCAGAAATTATTTTAAAATTCTGGGCACCAGTGGCCCAGGCCTATGATCCTAGTCATCTGGAGCCTACCCAGGAGGCTGAGACCTGGAGGATCTTGGTTTGAAACCAGTTTAGGCAGGTGAGTCTAACACTCTATCCTTAAAACAACCAGCAAAATGTTAGATGGGAGGTGTGACTCAAGTGCTAGAAAGTCAGCTGTGAGCAAGAAAGCTGAGTGAGAGCCCCAGGTCCAACACACACACACACACACACACACACACACACACACACACACTGTAGGGGAAGAGAGATGATTATTTATTTATTTATTTAAGTCTGGTCGTGGGGCCTGAACTCTGGGCCTGGGCTCTTCAGTTCAAGGCTAGCGCTCTACTACTTGAGCCACAGCGCCATTTCCGGCTTTTTTCTTTTTGCTTATGTGGTGCTGAGGAATCAAACTCAGGGCCTCATGCATGCAAGGCAAGCGCTCTACCACTGAGCCACCTTCCCAGCCCAAGAGAGATGATTATTTTAAGTGAGTTCTTCCTTGTCAAATGCTTAACTAATGATTGGTACTCAATAAGTATTATTATTGCTAAAGTGTAATCTCTTTCTTGTGAGTAGGGATCTGTTTATGATAGGGAACAGGGGAAATGGCTTTGCCCTGTGGAGAAGTTAGAGGAGAGGAGGAAGAGGAGAGAGAGGAAAGAAGGGAGAGATGAGATGCTATACTTTGGATCTTCAGTGGTCCCCGAATGCTCATATGGCTAGGCCTCCAGTCAGTGGTGCTATTAGAAGGTGGTGGAACCTTTGGAAAGTGGGGCCTAGTAGAAGGAAATGGGGTGTGCCCTGGAGGGGATATTTGGACCCTGGACACTTCCTGTTTCTCTCCTCACTTCCTGGTCACTATGAGGTGAGCAGCCTCCTCCATTAGGTGCTCTGCTATAATGTGCCATGCTGCCACATGGCCCAGTGGCCATGGACCAAAGCCATGGGAACCAAAGCAACCTTTGCA